CCAGTTGACAAAAAGTTGTCAAATAAAGTCTATGGAATTATATCATATGCTGCACCTGAGCTACTTAGAGGCAAAACAAATACAAAAGAATCGGATATCTATAGTGTTGGGATGTTAATGTGGGAAATATTTGCAGGCCATCCACCATTTGACAATAGAGCTCACGATCATTGTTTGATTTTTGATATATGTGAAGGTTTACGACCACCAATATTACCTGAAATGCCTGACGATTATGTCCAAATGATGCAGAAGTGTTGGGATGTGGAACCATCAAAAAGACCAACTAGTAAAGAGCTGTTTGATTTTGCCTATGATAAAAATAAGAAAATGCTTAAAAATAATAATGATAATAATAGTAATGGTGGTGGTAGTAATTCTTTGCAACAAGCACACAAATCACATCCAGACGCATATCATACAAGTAGAATATTAGATGAAGAGATTGCTAAATATAAAAGCTTAAAAATTTATACAAGTAATGATAGCTCGTTAAATAATATTGATTTTAACTCTTTTCTCTAAATATTGATTTAACAAAGGTGAATAAAAACTTCATTATTAATCAATTTTGAAATTACTATTCATTAATTTTTACTAACAATTAATTAATAAACATTAAATTCTAGTAACAATAGTAAAAGAAGAATGACTAATTTAATCACTATAAATTTATTGTTGTCATTTTATTTATCTTTTTATTTTATCATTTTGTTTCTTATAATAATATTTTGAAATAATAAACTTTTTAAAGTTTTCTGATTCTTTTTAAATTTTGATTAATTAATAATCATGGCTTAACTTTTGGACTACTCTTGTCAGTTAATTGCAAATAACTCGATGCCTGTCAATTAATTATTACAGAAAGAAACATTATCAGCAAAGATAGCATACCTTAAAATGGCTGATGCACCTAGAGTATCATCCACAGGGCCCGATTCTATACTAGAAATAAACATTGAGATTTCAGACTTTGAGCCTATTAGCATATAGCTTTGCCTGAGACAACGCCAAAGCAATAATGGAATCATCAATATCAATAATGTCATTAGATGCTGCATTCTACAAAAATTTCCATTTGTGTGCTAGTATATGAGTGGTCAATATCCCAAAGCCATTAATTAATACCTCTGCTTCACGTATACTCACAGAATTAAAATATGAGAAACATAGACCGAATATCCAACGGATATAACCACTAGTTAAATCTAACACTTTGGTTCAGTCTGTTACATTAGATTTAATAGGTTTTGGCTACTATTTCTACGCCATGTGATGAGCTCAGTTTATTGGGTCTCCAGTAGTTCGTTATCTTGATTTGTCTATAGATGTAAACAATTATTAATAAAAAAATATGTTTAACTCGATTGGATATTGTGTCAACTTGCTTTTCTGAAGTCAGAAGGCAAAGCATATCATATTCTATATAACATTCAAAGCAAAGAGACTTGTTATTCTGGTCACCTGGAACTAGAAAGACTGCTCTTGTGAAAACTTTAAGTAATGACCTCTGAAATTGGTTCCCCGTGCTGGACTAACTAATCCTTCTGAATATTCTATTTTAGAAGATAATAATGAACCTAGTTTTAGTAGCCGAGCAATCATGAAAATGAATGTAAAAATCCCATTATTTTGCTGGATGAATTAGAAAAAGTGAAAGACGAAAAATTCAGGCAGATGTGATTAATGATGTATGACAAAACTTTTGACTTTAGTCATTGATATAACTAAAGTATTGACTAAAAGTAGTTTCTCACCAGGCCATTTTGACAATTTGACTAAAGTAAAAGCCCTTGATGTAATTAAAAACACTTGACACAAATAAAAACACTTGATACAAGCAACAATAATGATGATAAAATAGGATTATCAAAAGTTCCAAATTATGTAAAAATATGTATCCTGGGGATGAATAAAGAATTATTACATCATTGTATGTATATTGCAATGATGCGAGAAGAATAATTATCATGGGAGAAATTTTACTTAATTAAACTACTACTACTATTCTTTTATTATTACATTTTATAAAATAAAATTGTCTTTACATACATATGAGTTGTGTTAAATTGATGTTTTTTCAAAATTTCGACCTAATAACAATAAAATAAAATGTAAATAAATGTTTTTGAATCCCGATCTCGTGACCCTAACACTAACACGTTATGTGGCAAGACTTTGACGATCTATGATAAGGCTCCAAGGCATAGCCGTAAGTTTTTGGTCATTTCAAACAGTCCGAAACGTCGGAGAAAGACGAAGACTTAATGGTAGACAACGATAGACACCACACAAAAAACATTTAAAGCGAAACACGATTTCCTTTCAGTCAAATACCTGCTTTGCTCAACTCAGACGTTTTGAACAAAAATCGATAGGTTTTTCGGTTGTCAAATAGATAGAAATGTGAATTCGCATGACACAGTGATGTAAAAATAACCACACATTTATCATTTTTGGAAAACGAAAATATTTTTGTTTAAATTTCAATTTTAACCAATTAATTCAAATCAACTTCAAATCATTTCAAGTCAATGTAGCAAAAAAGAAGAAAACGACTCATTATCCTTTGATTTTGATCTTATCCTTCCCAACAATTCAATTTACTAAAGTTGAGCAACCAAGCAAAATGAAAATAAAAATCTACGCAAAAATTACGACATTTAGAAAGGAACTGTAACACAGCAATCTTTCTTTTACATATTAATATTAATATGTATTAGGAAAAAATTAATGTAACGTTGTTCTCAAAAAAAATATTCCACTCTAAAAACACCAAGTAAAATTTTTATATAATGTCATTTGATAAACTATTATCATCGTTATCACTAGAAAGACAGGAATTTATATATAAAATTTATGCTGAAATATTTAGTAATGCAGCAGTTAATTCTGATAGAAGTAGAAAAGATTATTTTTTTTCGTTAGTCAAGAAAAGCAAGGAGCTTTCTGAAAATGAAAATGAAAATTGTAAACAAAGATTTATTTATAGTTTTGAATTACAAAATGCAAATGAAAAATTAAGAAAACCAAAAGAATGTAACAAGTGTAAATTAATAAAATACTTTGATAGATTCTGTGAAGGTTGTATTAGTTTACAATTACAGAGACTTTTCACCACTTGGACATCTGGAAATAATGTAATTGATGATTTTATTCAACAATGTCAAATAAAATCATCTCTGCCAAACTATATTTTAGAATGGATACCTTTTGAGCAATTTGAAAAAGTAACAAAGTTGACAGAAGGTGGGTTTAGTTCAATTTATACTGCTACATGGACAAGAGGAAAAATAATTGATTATGATGAAAATAAAAAGGAATTTAGCTATTGTGGAAGGCAAATTGTAGTATTAAAAAGTTTAAATGATAACACAAAGAACACAAAAGAAACAGATATCTATAGTGTTGGGATGTTAACGTGGGAAATATTTGCAAGCCATCCACCATTTGACAATAGAGATCACAATCATCGTTTGATTTTTGATATATGTGAAGGTTTACGACCACCAATACTACCTGGAATACCCGACGATTATGCACAAATGATGCAGAGGTGTTGGGATGTGGATCCATCAAAAAGACCAACTAGTGAAGAGCTTTGTGATTTTTCTGAAAATAAACATGACGAAATTATTAAAAATAAAAGTTTGAAAAATAATAATAATAATAGTTTAATAAAAAGATTATTCAAATTTTCTAAAATCAAAAAAAAAAGAAATTGATTTTAATAACGATAATACTAGTAGTGATGGTAGTAGTGCTTCGCAACAAGCACACGAATCACATCCAGATGCATATCATACAAGTAGAATATTAGATGAAGAGA